AGGGTGTGGAAGAGATGAAGTGTGTACACTGTCAAAGTGTCTGCTATTGGAGAAAGAGACCAGACTGCAAAGTTTAGTCAGGTAGAGGGATCTCATTGGTGATGCTTGCATCACTCATCTTGTTGGGAACTGAAGAGAAGCATGAAAGTTTTAAGCCTCTGGTAGGGACGTGGTTATTCTGTTCTCTGTGTAACATTTTAGATCCCACTTCAGTGCTTTAAAAGACCAAAAATACAGTATGCTCCTTGGGGTGTCACGGGTTTCAGGGCCAGCTAAGCTGTACCAGGAATTTCTTCGTTCTCAGAGCAACCTAGGGTCAGATGACTTTAATGTTCATTTGCCTTTTAAGTTGCAAATTCTAGGATGCTCCTGTTGGTATAAAAAGGAATTTTGCTGTTTCTGGCCAGCTGAGCTCTGTAGGGCTTGAAGAAGAAAGCTGTAAGGAAAACTTTCTGAGGCACTGAGATATAAACATAAATTACAGAGCTCTGCTATGAATTTGTCATTTTTTGCCTTATAGGCCTCCAAAACTACCTTTAATGACAGAGAGGCCCTTATATACCACACACTGAAAATTTAGGTTCTTGTTAATTAAGTTCCCTCCAGAATTAAAATGAACCAGTGCATATTTAGAGTCTGTGTTGAGCACACTATAATAATACTTATTTCAGTATATTAAATTAGAACATGTTTCTGTTCTTCTAAAGGTTCTATCTTGGGAACCATTATCTGAAATAGCTAACAACATTAGATGTTATAATTACTTATATTTATGATATAGTTATAAACAATTATGAAGTAAATTATTGTAATTATTTAAAATAATTACAAAATAATGATTGTAATAATAATTTTGTAGCTATTTATATTTATTAGATATCATACTATGTATTAATTTACCAGAAAAAAAAACAAACAGGAAATTCAAAGTTATACTCCGCATATTTTAGCTCATAGAATATGCCAAGTTAATCTGAAATGTGGGAATGGATTTATGACCTTTCCTCATTATCTCAAGATTTAAGGTTAGGTTTCCAGGCAGAGCTTCAGCTGCAAGCAGTTTGGTATTCAGAAATCATTGCATTCATCAGCTTCTCTCTCCCTCATGATCTGCTCTTGTATGTGAACTTCATTTAGTGCAGGAACTCCTTTTTTATTTTTTTTTTATTCCCTCCTGTAATTAGTTCCTATTAAAAAGTCCAACTCATCCTTGTCTAACCTCCATTAGACTATCTTTTTCTTTCTTTCGTTCCTAATGCAGAGGCACTAATCTCTTTGACCAGTCAAAACCCTTCCAGCATTTATTGTTCATATTAATTTTTTTTAATACATACTCAGTATTCAGACCAACGATGCTATATTTGATCATATTCTGGAACAATGAGAAAAGCCAGGGAAAGGAAATGTAGAATCTTTTTTTTGGTCTCAGGATGACATTTCTTCCTTCAGAATACTCTTGCAATTAGTTTTCTTTCTAGACATCAGGCTTTCCTCCTTTCTGCTCTTATTTATACAAAGCAATACAGCTATTTCAATAATCGTCTGATAAAGTGATAGTTCTAGGAATGTATAGTAAGAGGAAAATTAGGGTAGCCTTTCAGAACTAAGACCAAGAGGGGAGATGCCCTTTTTCATCTCCCAGCCCAGCAGACCTTATCTTCAACCTTAGTTTTGATTAGTGATTCAGAAAATCTTGGTTGATTCACTGGCATATATTTAGTTGATTTAATCTGAATTGTTAATTACTGAAAATGTGAGAACACTTTAGTGTTAAAGAGTGCCTGAATGATGGCATAACTGAAAGTCATAAAATAAGAAATTCCACATCAACAGAAGATATTGGATCTTATTCTAATTTCACATCTTTTAAATTACAATTATTAAAGCAAGAAAGTGTCTGACTGGAGATATTTTCAATTATAATGGAAGGAATGAGGACTATTCAGCTTTGCTGTTTCATTCAGAGAACCAAAGTCACATCCCTCTTTGCCACCTGCCTGTTCAACCTTGGAACAGACTTAACTTCTCCACTTTGGTTGCCCTTACTCCTGTTTTGGGTTGCATGCATATATCCCAGTTAGATGTTTGTAACAAGTACTTTCCTTTTTGCTATATAAAGTCGCAGAATCACAGAATCAATTAGGTTGGAGAAGACCTCTAAGATTCAGTTCGGCCTATGACTGGACACCACCACGTCAGCTAGACCATGACACTAAGTGCCACGTCCAGTCTTTCCTCAAACACCTCCAGAGATGGTGACTCCACCACCACCCTGGGCAGTCCATTCCAATGTCTAATCACCCTGTCTGTGAAGAAATTCTTCCTAATATCCAACCTAAACTTCCCCTGGTGCAGCTTAACACTTTGTCCTCTCATCCTGTCATTAGTTGCCTAGGGGAAGAGGCCAACCCCCCAACCTCCTTTCAGGTAGTTCTAGAGAGCAAAAAGGTCCCCCTGAGCCTCCTCCTCTCCAGGCCAAATAACCCCAGCTCCCTCAGCCGCTTATCACAAGACCTGTCCTCCAGACTCTTCACCAGCTTTGTTGCCCTTCTCCAGACTTGCTCAAGTATCTCAACGTCCTTCCTGAATTGAGGGGCCCAGAACTGGACACAGCACTTGAGGTGTGGCCTCACCAGTGCCTAGTACAGGGGGATAATCACTGTCAATATTCTGCTGGACATGCTATTTCTGAGTCAAGCCATGGTGCCATTGGCTTTCTTGGCCACCTGGGCACACTGTTGGCTCGTTCAGCCACTGTCAACCAGTACCTCCAGGTTCTTTTCTGATGGGTAGCCTTCCAGCCACTCTTCCCCCCAGCCTGTAGCACTGCATGGGGTTATTGTGGCCAAAGTGCAGGACTTGGCACTCGGCCTTGTTGATCCTCATACTGTTGGTCTCGTCCCTTCTATCCAGTCTGACAAGATCCCTCCAGAGCTTTCCTACCCTCCAGCAGATCAACACTCCCACTCAACATGGTGTTGTCCATGAATTAGCTAACAGTAGACTCAATGCCCTCATCAATAAAGATACTGGTGGACAGTACTTGTGAGTGGACACCAACTGGATGCAGCACCATTCACCACCACTCTCTGGGCCCAGCTATCCAGTCAGTTCTTAATCCAGCAAGGAGTGCACCTGTCCAAGCCATGGGCTGCCAGCTTCTCTAAGAGCTGGAAGATGGTGTCAAAGGTGTCAAGTTGAAATAAATTCAAAGGTTTAATAGATCAAAGCACTTCATTCTTCAATACACATACTAGGTCTCTAGAATTTTGAAAGTTTTATTCCTTGTTAGATTATCAAGATTTTGTTAACTGTGAAGGATGGGTAACAATAACTGGCTAACCCTTTGCATCATCACGTACATAAACGCTTGGTTTAGTTTGAATGCTGGCGAGGGCATCTCTTTGGCTAAATTAGAGGTAAGCAAGTTTTTAGGGGAAAGAAGTGAATAAATTTGGAAGTGAAAGATTAAGGATGTAATTTTAGTTCTATAGTGTATATTTGAAGCAAATGTGTTAGTGATGCCTACATCCCATGCATGGGTTTGTGCTCCAGGGCAGGCTCAGTGTGCACAGCCCAAGGTTCTTGTGGATGAAATCACTCAGGTGATGTGTTTCAGAAGCCTGACTGATGTTCTCCAGCCACTACAGGCAGGTGCAATGAAGAATAGAATGGGAAGAAGACTTTTCCTGTGGCTGGTGGCATCTTGAAGAACTCTATAGGAAGGTGATAGGGAACACAACTGATTCCTGAAAACACCATGGATCTTCTACAGGCACCTGTAGAAGGTGCCCTCTTTTTTATTGCAGGAAAAAGAATGCCTTACAGCTTACCAAGTCTTCACTGGGATTTTGGCCACTTCAGACCATCTATATTACTCTCTAAGGGCTGGGCCTAAAATCATCACAACTAACTGTATGTGATGAACCTTTTAAGTGCATATTGAAAGACATTTTAATTTTTAAAAGTCCTGAGTACCTAGATGATCCTGCTGACCTGAAATTAAAGAGGAGTCAGACTATTAATTTGCCCTTTATGTAAATAGGTAGTACTGTGTAAACTGAAATACAGATACTGAATGCAAAGTCATAGATGGTTTTAGGCAGTGCCGGTGGTCAAGGCAATTTTCATGATGTTAATTTAGGTGAGAAGTAACCAGTAACTACTAGTAGTAGGTGAGGGAAAAGTGCTCACAAACTAGGTTCTAGAAGGGACAATCAGAATTCTGGAACTAAGTGTACCCCAGATGGGATCTGGCCTTTGATATAAGTGCCATCTGTGTAAATGCCAAAGGACCTACAGTATTAGCGTTGGGTTTTTCTGTTTGTTCTCAGATTTACCTATACTGCCTTTGCTTGAAATGGAAAAGACCGACCAGCAGTTTCTTATATTTCAGTAGTGTCAAAGTGACTTATAGCAGCTGACGAATCAAACACAAAGCTGTGCCATGGCAAACCATTCATCAGGTGCCCTGCAAAATTAGGATTTTGAAGGGGTTTTTTATGTAGTTTTGGGTCATGTTTATTTCTCAGAAACCATCTTACCACTTTTAAATTAGTGTTTATTACTTTAAGGCCAAGTGTACAATCCTATATTGGATGTATAAAAAAGGTGTAACTAATCAAACACGTCATTGTGTTGGGCACTGGAGAAATGTTTTTAGTGCTTAAAGTCAAACATGCTTGTGATTTGCTTTTTTTTCATGTGAACTGGCTGAACGCTATGAACTATAAATTTAGGCTTTAAATATTTATTCTATTAACTGATTAAAATATAAGCAGCTAGAGCAAATACAGTTATATTTGCTTTAGAGTTGTTTATTTTTCTAGCATCTTAAGAAATTAAGAAAACTAAAGACAAAAATGTGTTTCAGCTGTTGTGTGTGCAGTACAAATTCTGTAGTTACAGAAAAAAGGTTGGCATTGCTCTGATTGCTTAAAGAAAAATTGAGATGATATTTGATTAAATGACTGAGAGAAGAATAAATAACATTTCAGAACTTTTGCAGTTAGGATGAAGAATTTATTGTATATACAGTTAAGCAGCTCTACTGTAGATGTACTTCCTCTTTAAAGAAAATGAATACAGTATTCAAAATAGTTCTAGCATGGAAACTACAATACAGACTGAAACTTGACTAATCCAGAAATTAGTTATTTCTCTTGAAAGAACACAGAACCTGAAACAACAAATTGCAGGTTGCATCATTAACCTAGGACAGTAAAAAACTGTACAGTACAAGCAACACGTTACAATAAATTATGACCAATAAGGCAGTCTTTCTCATTTAGGACAAAAGGGATGAAGGGAAAGGTATTAAAATCTCATAAATCCACCATATCTCTTTTCCATCTCTGGGACTTCTTTGGAATAAGTTTCCCTATCTTCTTCTGAAGGGAGAATGGAGTCGGCGAAGCGCTTAAGAAACCCACCATATCGTTTCTGGTAATCCAGCCACCATTCTGGCCTGCCCACTCTTCTCATGAAACCACCATATCTCTTTTGCAGCTCTTTGGCTTCGTCTTCCAATTCAGGGCTGCGCTTAATGCTTCTCATGAAGCCTCCATACCTTTTGCTGACATCCCCTTCGTTCTCATTTATGTCTCGATAATGTGCTGCTTCAGGGTTATCCTCTGTTCCTAGAAGCTCCTTCAGCAGATCAGAGGAGTTAGCAAGGGCATCATCATCTGAGTCTTTCTTCATAAACCCTCCATACCTCTTAGCCAGGATTTCTCCTCCGTTAGCTTCATCCTCTGGTTCTGCCCGATAGAGCTCATCCATTTTCTTCATGAACCCCCCATATCTTTTCATGAAGCCTCCGTATTTCTTCGCAAGCAAATGGTTTTCATCCAGCTCTTTCTTGTCTCCTGGAGCAATGCTGCCATCCTCAGAAAGATCAAGTTTTGCCAGTTGCAGGAGCTCCTTGCAGGTCTCCCAGGCTTTGGCAGAAGGCAGTTTTCCTTCACATTCTAGTGTACATGCCTGAAAAATTGATGCAGTTTACTGAGAATGATCTGATAGTAACAATCACCTCACTGCCACCTTATCTTAGGTTTACTTGATTATAAAAGCCATGAGTGAGCCTCTCTTTGTGAGTGGCTTGGAAGGACTGTTCTTTGTGAACAGCTGATTTGGTACCTGTCTGTTCTGAAGTTCTTCATATCCCTCCCTGAAGGATAGGGTAATCTCTACTCTAAGAGATAGCATACTAGACAAGGTGGATTGTGGGTCCTGTATGTCAAGGCTGTCCCAAAGTTTCTGTTTCAAAGGAAGCCATAGGTATAGTTCTTGTATTTCCCTTACACTCATGTGAGTTATGAATTTTTCTTTTAAATTTACTATCGGAAGCTACAAACCAATTGTGATTTGCTTTACAATGCAAGTTAGAATTGTATTCAATCTTCATAATTAAAAATAACATTCAGAAATTTTAGAAAAGAAGTTGCACAGCATGGTCATTGCAAAGAAGCCAGCTATACTGTACTGTTCAGTATCTTCAATACTCTGCATAGCTTTAAAGGTTGTATTTCTGTGTGTTGTCATTAGTTTCTCTTCATGGAACAGACCTTTCAAACATGTACTAATAGAAATGTAGAAATACAGGCTCTTTTGGGCAGGATCAAAGCTCTTGTTTTGCTAGTTGGAAAGTAGTGACCATCGAAAAGAAGGAAAAAATCCTAAGCTGTGTTGTTTCTGACTGTAGTGAAAAATGTTCAGACTACAATATAAAAAAATTTTTCAGTACCTGCATGCATATCTCATAACCTGTCCTGTGAAGATAATAACATACATATTGTATATTGTGTCAGGGGAATGTACTTCTTGTGGAGTAATATTCTTCAGTTGCAAAAAAAGGTGAAACTAGTGGTTTTTTGCTCTTGTCCATGGTTTTCATACCACAACAAATAAAGAAAAAAAAATCATTAATATTTTCAATAAGAGAAACACTTATTCCAACTATAGATGATGTTTTCCAAGGATCTCAACATGCTTTAAAATGTGGAATTAAACCCCAGCACAGTTCTTTCTAATAGCCCATTGTCCATCTCTGGCCTTACCTGTCTCTTCAGTCTCACTTAAATATGATTTTTTGTATGATCCCAAGAAAATCAAAGGGATGTATTTTGCAACACAATAATTGAACTGGCACTACATGCTTATTGCTATATATTATAGTCATGCTGTAAAGAAAATAAAATCTCAGCTTCAGTCTGATTTTGGAATTGCTCTAAATCAAAGCAAGAATAGGTCTTTCACCTTCTCAATTAGTTTTAATAACCCCCTGTTACCAGATGAACATACTCTATCTCATAGGTGTGAATGACCAGGCACAGAGTGAAAAACCCTTGTATCTTAAACAGATACAATGTGATAAAACCGCTTATCACGTTACTACATGCTAGCATCTAGAAACATTAGTTTCTAAAAATTGTTCATACATGTTTAACAAATACAAGATATGTTACATTGATTCTTTACCCATTTAGCTAATAATTGTTGTTACTGAATGGCACTTTGATTCTTTCTTGAATGATTACTGAAGGTGTGCAAGAGAGACTTTCATTACAGACATCCAGAACATATACTCCAAAAAGCACATATCCTTCCCTCCCAAAGGGCTAACTACCACTTCCCCCCCCCCCCAGTTGACATTAAAGGTAAAATTTGATTGAAGTCTAATGTAAGCAAAAAAAGCATAGGAACTATTTTGCCAGCCACTCAAAGAATATTGCCCTTATGAACCTGCTGCGGTTAAGTTCTTGAGGATTTCGAGTAAGCTGCAGTACTCAGTGGTTCCCAATTCTGTTTAGACTAGAATCCTTCCTTTTGCATGCTCCCAAATAACCAGTGACATGACAGGAACAAAACTTTTCAGATCATTTAGACGTGCCAAGAGCGCGATGCCTCAGTGTGCATGTATTTGAGATCAGAACCGCAGATGCCACTGGCAAAGTACTCCGTAGCCAGAGTGCCCACCTTCTTCAGGGAGGGTGAAGGACCCCAGAATTTCACTGACCCCAATCCTTAAATTACAAGTTGAGTTGCCTCTGTGACTATACTTTGAAATAATTTTAACACCATAAGAATAAACTCCCCTTGCATTCTGGAGTTAGCAAGATTTGTCTTAGAAGCCACTATCAAAGGGATCTTTCACAGGCATGTTCCTAAGGCTGTGCAGCACCGTGCAGAGAAGAGGATCAGCGGGAGCTACTGCTACTCAAATTAGGCTTTAACCGCACTTTTTTTTTTTTTTTTTTTTTTTTTCTTCTGAGATTTTAGGCAGGTCCGCTACTTTTCAGCTGGACGGCCATCCTGCCGGGAGAGCTCTCATCTTATCGTGGAGCCCTCATCCGACGGTCGGAGGGTCGGGACCCCCACTCCCGTCCCTCGTGGCTTCCCCTCTCCCTCTCCTGCAGAAATGCCCTCCATTCGCATTTTCTTTCCTCCTAACGTTTTCACTCGGCTTTTTCCTTGCTCCCCGTGGGGCTGCTCGGCGCCTGGCGTCTTTCGTTCCCATCCCCGAAAGCCGCTGCTCGCTGTCGGGCAGCGGGAGGGACGGGCGGGCCGGGGAGGGTCTCCTCGGGGCGCGCTGTTTGTGTCGGCGCCCTCCCGCCCCCGCCCCGGCCTCTCCCCAGCGCCCCGAAGCTCGTTCCTGTCTCCCTCCCCCCTTCAGAAAAAGGTCTTCCAAGCGACCCAGGCCACTTCCCTCGCTATTTATTTTTATCTCGCTGCTTTGCTGCTTTGTCCCCCCTCCCCTTTTCCTCCCCTTTTCCTCCCTTCGCAAAGTTAAGGGCGAAGCGAGGGACCAGTCCCTAGCCGAGGTGGGCCGGGGCCGCATGCAAGCAGCCGGCCGGCCCGCTCCCGCTTTACCAGGGACGTCGGTGGATGCCAAGCGCGGTCCAGGCGGGTAGGGCGCAGGCGGCGCAGGTCGCGGCGCAGTCGCCCTCGCCCTCCGGAAGCAGGGCAGGTGCCTGAAAGGGCCAGCAGCGCAGCAGCCGAGTCTCAGGAGCACGCCATGGGCTGCCCAAAGGAGAGATAAGCCGGCAGCCGCCTCCCCCCCGCCCCCACCCCCGGCACTGCCTCCCGCAGCCTCGGAGTAGAAAAAGGCGGCACGAAAGAGTTCAAACCAACTCCGGTAACTCACACGCTTTGTGGAGCCGGGGTGGTTGCGCTTGCGAGGTAAGCGGGAGCTTAAGGAAAGCAGACGCTTGACAGCCGCAAGGCAACGGACCTGCTTTCGGAGCAGGAGAGGACCGGAAAGATGAAGCGCCCAGAAGCTCCCGGCCGGTAAAAGTGTTCGTCCCCAAACATTTTGTCCCTTCCTACCCGCAAAGCCGGCGTCACATGAGGAGAAGAGACGCACCGCGGAGCGGCACGGACGGGACCCCAGCCCCTCCTGGGAAAGGTTTCCCACCAGGGACGCCCCGACGACGGGCACCAGCCCTGGCAGAGCCGCCCGGCCCTCCCTCGGCCCCCACCGCGAGCCGAGCAGTTCGCTCACACACAGGCTTCCCTCGGGGCTCCCGGGAGTTGCTGGAGGAAGAAGCTGAGCCTTGCTGAAGTGTCCGCGTCGGAGCCGCTATTATTTGTAGCGAGGCGAGCAGCCTCTGGAGGAAACCCGCGGGGAGGCAGCACGGCCGGGGGGCCCCGAGCCGAGGCGCCCGCTGCCGGGACCGGGCGCGCCGCTGTCGAGGGGAGCGGAGCAGAGCAGGTACGGGCGGAGGCGGCGGCACTTTATAATTCGTGACCGCGGGCAGAGAGCGGCCTCCCCCAATCGCCGTCGGGCTCCCGCTGACGCAGCGACTACGACATCCCCCCCGGCACTGCCACCCCGACAGCAGTGACTCCAGCGGGGCTCGAGGGGTCGTGTGTGTGTGTGTGTGTGTGTGTGTGTGTGTGTGTCCCTCCCGTCGGGGGGAAGCGGGGCACCAGCACCGGGAAAGTTATCGGGGGAAGTTTTCACCGGGGGCGGGCGGGGAATGAGACATCGCGTGAGTCATGCGGGGGGTGGGAGTGAGGGACGGGGAAAGGCACCCCGGGGCTCATGGTAGCCCCCCTCTCCGAGGCGGCGAACGCAGGTTCCCGGCAGAGCCTTGCACAGCGCCGTGGAGCGGGATTGGTCTTTTGTTTGTTTGTTTTGTTTTTGTTGTTGTTTTTCTCTCCCTTCTTATTTCTTTTTTTCTTTCCTCTCTGCCACCCTGCCAAACCCCAAAGCCTCTGGTGCTACATCCCTTTCTGGCTCCCTCCCTGGGCCTCAGGTGTAAAACAGTGTTTGGGGGAAGCAGATTTTACTAGAGCGAGCAAGAAGACAAGGGGTTTGATTTGAAACTTTGGATTTCACAAGTATGGGTGGATTTGCATTGTTTTCACAATTTTAGTGGCCAGGAAAACACAAATAAGAAAGAAGCAGATAGAGGCAAACCCCCAAGTTACTTCTGCAAAGTTCTCAAGCCCAGCAGGTAGGGCTGCTCACTGCTCTGCTCCATTTGACATCTTGGGGAACAGGCGTAGAGAGATAACTCTGATTCCTGATGCCTCTGTTTTGTAGAGGGCTCTGCCCCAACCATGCTAAGCTGTTTTTCTTTGACTGTCAGACTCCACCTTTTATTTTCAGCCCCAATTTTTTTCTAGCTGGTCTATGTATACTTGATCTTGTTTCAGGATTGACCTTCACTTTAAAGAGCATTTTCCCCCTTTCTGATGTGTTTATATTCTCCCTAGTTCTCATTTTGCTGAAGTGAACAAGCTGTGCACTTCAGCAATCTGTCCCAAGACAGGCCATTTTCATGTGAACGTTCTGCTCTCCATTTGCTATACTTGGAGTTCATAATTTCTGGGCATGAGTGATGGGAACAGAATACAATATGTCAGTTGAAATTTCATTAGGACAGTAATGTGTAATTATGTTCCCTGGAGGAAGAAGACACCTCAATTTATACCTCCTCGGATCTTGTTCGCCTTTCCTAATGCTGCACTACATTGATGTCACGCACTCACTGAGATACAGCCAGTTCTTTATCCTTCAGAACTAACAGAAAATTCAGTAGTATTATTGTATGGAAATTGTGCTTTTTGCCACCAGTCTTTACACCAGCTGTCAGACTCAGGTTAAGGATGCTCAAATGCATGCCTGAATTTTCAGAAATACGTCCATTCAAGCCAAAGACATCACTCTTGCCTATAATCACTGTATGTGAGAAGAGCTTTGGGGTCTCTGTTTATGCAGTAATATCAACCGACTTTGTGAGTGAACCCTCAAGAGAAGAGGTAGACATTTAAAAAATCATCCCAGTGGATATATTTCTGTTAGCATGGGAGGGATCTGCATTTGGAACAATTAACAAATTCCTATGCCACTGACTCAACAGGGTTGCTCTCAGGTTTGTTCTTAAGTTGGTTAGGGAAGCACTGAGTAACTCTAGAGGTGACACATTTGATGTCTCTTTTGCTGTAAAGTTGCTCACTACAAACAGAGCTTTTTGTGATGGACACCATCAAATTAGTCCTGTGGGTCACTTACTGATTTTCACTTCTGCCATCATTTTATTGGCTTGCACTGTAATAGTCAGCATGGCCTGATGAGACAGATAGCCCAGCAGTGTCCTGATTTTCCTCCAGCAGCGTACATCCCATGTCTCTGGGCTGAATGGCTGTTGCTTTCATCATTCTGCCCATGAGTGTCCATGCTCAGCCTGCTCACTCAGCTCCTCAACCTGCCAAGTCCTTCAGTACTCTGTTTAATGTCACTTATTGTGCTTAATCTGCTCATGATGAAAACCAGCCAGTGTTAGAATCTCACTGTGTACAGAGGTGTAGATAATCCCTGTAGGTAAAATACAGAGTATAACAGGAAAAGATGATGGATGATGTAAGAGTAAAGCATATAAAAGGATCAAATAAAAGGCATGTAAATTCTCTGTAGAAGCAGAGTAATGGAGAGGGTTGTTTTTCAGTGGGTAAGTCTTACAGCTGCTAGTGGCAAACAGGGAAGAGGAAATGATGGGAAGAGATCAAGTGTGAAATGCACAGCTACAAGGACTCTTGCAGCAAGTAAGAGAGAGAGGAGAGGTATTTGTGGACAGCCAGCACTGGACAGAAGAAATCTAGCTGTGGCTGTCACAAACACTACAGTTATCCCCAACTCTTTGGTTCAGTTGCTTCTCCGTGTCCATATGTCATTTTTATCTTTAGCTGATTCCTCTCTGTCACTGGTCCTCATCCTGCATCCTTATGGAGGTTGTGTAAGGGTCCTCAGGGCCTGGCAGGGTAGAGAGTGAGGAAAAGATCCCAGCTGGACTCTCTTTTTACTCCTTTCACACGGTGCCTGCTGCACAGAGTCCTTTCCTTCCTCCTGAAAGATGCTAATATTCACAGAGAATGTGATACAAGAAAGGAGTAATGAGGGAAGTCTTTCTTGAAGAGCTCGCTTTTCCCAGTGTCAGCAGATGAAAGCTCTGTAATTCCTAGACTGAGCTCAGTTTTGTACAGGGAAAGCATTCTTTGCAGAGAGAGGATGAAAACAGGAGAGAATTTAGAAAATTTTGCCAAAATACTACAAAACAGAAAGTACATAAGGAAAATTACTCACTGTAGGCGTGGAAGCTAATATTTCCTCAGCAATGGTGAACTGAGAAACAAAGAAACAGGGAGGCAAAAAAGAAAGGGAACATTTTCACAGCAGTAAAGACAATGGCTTATTGCTTGCTACTAACTTTATAATAAAAATGTCCCAGTGTTGATAAAAACTTTTGCATTTGTGTAAAACAGAATTCCTGCAGACACCATCAGCTTTTTATCTGTCATCAAAATATACCAACCAAAAGAAACCTATTTGTATGACAGTAGTGCTTGCAGCCCCAAGGGTCCCATTGTCCTATGGATTGTCTAACTCCCAGGCTAAGGTAGAAAGAGATGAACCAAGATGAAATCATCTTCATTTTACTGATCGAGAAAACAACTTGAATGACTTTGCAAAGTGTTGCCAAAAATGAGCAGCCAAGCTAGAAACTAAATCTCTGTTGTAATTCACATCAGTATGTTTTCTGCAGGACCAGCTTTCCTTTCCAAACTATACTCATCATGCTAACCAAGCTGCTACAGAATCATTAAGTGAAGATGGATTTACACAGATATGAAATAAAAATGCTGTTAGCACCCCAAGCAATCCTCCTCACAACACAGAGCCTTTTTGATAGAATTGCGGAATAGGGAATGTAAAGCTGCATGTTGATTATTTTCTTCAGCTCAGTATAAAAGGTCACAGCATTTCTTAAGATCAGACAGTCAGGTTCCATTTAGCTCAGCCTAAATGGGCTTAATTTTTAGTGTGAACATATATAACTGGTATCAGAGCTGAGAAAGGCGTTGTAGGTCAACTCTCCTGTACCAAACATAATCAAAGGCATTAAGAGACATGAGTTATTAAACTGGAATGCTAAACTTTCCATCTCAGATAAAGCTTGTTCTTATTAATAATATTTTTGCCTTTGAACAAATCACCTTTTTTTAGAAGGCAAA